GCACCGGGTTGACGTCACCTTCCACGTGCGAGATGTCGTCGTCCTCAAACGCTCCTGAAACGCGCACGCACGCACGCACGCCGCAAACAGTTAAGCCGGGGACACACCGTGCGAATTTATTCGCACGACCGCAGCGGATTTTAAAACCGCCGTGGAATTTGCATGGTGTCAAGCGCGGGCGAATTTCATCTGCACCGAAATTCGCAGCGATCAAACATGTTTGATATTTTCGCTGCGGATTTTTACCGCTGCGTACAGCCGTGTGGCGAAAGTAGATCGCGTGTAGTGTGTCCGCTGCGGTCGTGCAAATAAATTTGCATGGTGTGTCCGCTCAATTATCGCATGCGGGTGCGAATATTTTCGCAGCGAAATTCGCATGCATATCCGCAGCAAAATTCACATGGTGTCCGAGGTTTTTTAGCACCACCTGGGCCGCCTTCGGCTGTGATACCTCGGTTCCGACCAGACGACTAGCGGGCATCAATCACAGCCGAATGGAATTAGTTACCAACCGTGGTTTATTCAAAATGGCGGCGCCCATACAGAATCGCGCTTCAGCTTGTTTTTATGAGTTTTTGAGTATGATTATGGACGATGATGAACAAATTCTTCTCAGACAGCTTAGTCTGATGATTTCCACTCAAGCATTAGGTGTAGTGGACAAATTTCCAGTTCAACTGCCGAAGATAATCTTTTTGATAATAAAATTACGAACGCCTTCCACTAACGCCTGCCATCTTGAAACCGAGCTCGACCAACCTCCGGAGATTGGTACAACTCGGTCGAACTACGGTTCGGACTAAATCACGTTCGGGTGCATCTAGTTCCGACATAGTCAAGAAATCGTGCCACCCGAAGGCAGCCCTGGTGGCTGAAGCAGCAATATGAATTCGCATGCATATCCGCAGCAAAATTCATATGGTGTCCGAGGTTTTTTAGCGCCACCTGGTGGCTGAAGCAGCAATCGTACGAGACGTTTCCCGTCGTCGTCCATGAGGGCGTAAACCCTGCAATTGCCAGTTTCCTACTGTGCTGTAACATCCCATTCTCCAAACCTCACATGCTTCTTGTCCTCACACACAATATGTTGTATCTTGGTTAGAGCCTCCTGTAACAGATCAACCATAGAGCATAGATAGAGTAAAGCTATTCATGATACTTCACGTCATCAGAATCACACAGGCAACTCTTCACATGAACTTACACACGCGGCGCAGTGTTCGTTTATTCGACAGCCACTACACATGCTAATTTCCTTTCTGTCCTACCTACTCATAACATCAAACTCACAACATCACAACCATAGCTTCATCAGCTGTGTCTGTTCAGCAACAATACAGATCAATGACTTCGATATGTAGCTGCAGCTGTGACGCGATACATTTTGCTGCGTCTGCAGGATGACACGCTTCGGCACGTGTCCGACATTGGACGTCGCCGTGGCGACGTGCTACTGTATACGCTGTATATTTCGCGGTGGCTTAATTTTCGCGAATTTCGCAAACGAGTCCTCGACCGCGAAAATATCAACACGCGAACAATTCATACCGAATAATACAGAATAATTCATAATTCACCGACCGCGAAATTAACCACTCGCGAAGTTGTCCGTCAAGTCTGAATTCGTGAAAATATCTGTACGCAAACAATACAGCATATACAGTACTAACGAATTCAGCCTTGTCCTTCTTGTCGTTACGCGTCGCGCTCTTGGACATCGTGCCGTAGTGTTTGCCGATGTACTCTTCGTCGCGCTTGCGAAGCTCCTCCATAATGATCTCCATGTCGCGCACCGGGTTGACGTCACCTTCCACGTGCGAGATGTCGTCGTCCTCAAACGCTCCTGAAACGCGCACGCACGCACGCACGCCGCAAACAGTTAAG